AAAACTATTGAGGGTTTAGTGTGATTTACTCAAAAGATATTGTGGTTTTCTTAAAAAAACTACAACATACTGATAGTTATTTGGCTCTATTGTAATTTACCTATTTTTTTATTATGTAAAAATATTTTGTGGTAAGCAAGCTTCGAACCTAAAACCTCCATGGTGAAGTTTAAATAATCCGACTAATTTAACTAATGAATTTCATGAATTCTAAGAAATACAAATATAATAATAACATAATTCTCACTGTAGCTATGAAAAGACATTCTATAGTGATAAACCCTTTAACTTTAGTGTATATATATAAATAGACTTAGGAGTAGTTCACCAATTTATATATAAAGAAGGGATATCATTATAAGATTTTTTAATTATGGATAGTTATAATTTGATTAGGATTAATAAATGTTTGATTATTAGAAATTTTAACTATAAATAATTTGATGAGAATTCTTAATTAGATGAAAATAAAATTAGGTGTTCATATATCACCTTCTGATAGAATAGAAAAATACATGCTATGCATTTAAATGGCACATCTTCTTCTTCTTCTTCTTATTATTATTATTATTTTGCCTTTAGGAGAATGACTATTTTCTAATCATATACAAAAGGAGGGATAAACTTTTTGTTGTGATGAAGGTTGGATATTCGCTCGCAGGCTCTACATATCGATAATATGGGAAGGAATTGATAATTAGCTTAGGAGTGGCAAGGCCCAACCCATTAATCTCAATAGAGAAATAGATGCATATAAGGCCCAATCATGATCCAAAGAGCCATGGGTCCATGGCCCACCACAATTATTTTTAATTAGTTTAAGAAACCCTCTAATTAAAATTGTAAATAATCCAAACATTAGATTTGAGGTTAAATTCCTGTAATAAATGTTTACTGCAGCATTGCTATAATTAGTTTTTACACTCAATAATATTTGTAACTACGACATGCATTTGACATATGCGCAAATCTCTACTATGTCACTTTTGCGACACAGTTTCAACTGCAACTGCAATTATATCTATTTATTGTCCGCAAAAAAGCGCTAGTGTTATGCATAATTACTTGAAATTACATAGAAAGATATTCCCCTTATATAATGAGTAAGTTACACATAGTTATTAAAATCCAGAACCGTTCAAAAAATCTCCTTAATACTATTTATCATATCCCATCAAAAATTTAGAGTCAATCCTCTTTCTAAAAATGGATTCAGATCCTCTCCAATAAAGTGGTAACTAGTGTGAACACCGTGCAAAGCACAACATATATTTTTTCTCCCCTCTATAGTAATCCCGGTTTTAAATGCTACAATATTTTTTTAATTTTTTAAATTGCTACAATATCATGCTCTGTTACAGTAATTCTTTAAATTACTTAAATCTTAGAGATTTACTTAAATCTCAGTGATTTAATTCGATTTCAATGGGTAGGATGCCACAATGTAGGATTTTTATTATTCACAAAAACGGTTTTTTGCTTTAGTGGTTTTCAAGACCACAATGGTTGTATAGATAATAATCTTATTTTATGTATCAACATCTTAGCCCTTTGAATTGAAATAAAAGAATAAGGTTTGAGTGATTGGACTTTCTCCGATTACCACATAATTGATGAGAATTATCCCGAAAAATAAATTAACAGATTATTTCCAGTCATAAATATAATATTTATCACAAAATAGGAGCATATATGCCATAACACCCTCTCAATACGCTATGAGCTTTGCTACAGGAACCCAAATATATGGGACCAATAGAGGGGACAAGTGATGTGTCCCCCTCATATTGGATAATGAGTTGGCCATCATTAATGATGACCAACTCATTATCTAATAGGAGGGAGACATCTTACTTGTCCTCTTGGTCCCATATTTTGGGACAGAATTTTTCATACGTTATTTCACTCCCATTAATTATCGTACCCTGGAGGCTCACGGCTCACGCTAGCCGAAATTAGTCAGATCTAAATCTCGAGATTTTGCATTTCTTGAGCTTCGCTTTCCCAAAGTAATTACCCAATTTTGCTGAGTAATCAAAGCAAGAGGAAACCCATTTCCTATGTCTCCATAATTCTCAAAGGAAAAGCTTGTTCATCCTTTTTGGGTTAGATTTTTGATGGGTTTAGGTCTTTTGGTGTGAGAAATAAAATTTATATGCAAGAAGAGGGTTTCGCTCAAAAATGCCTGTTTGGAGATTTGGGTTGGTTTCATGGGTCAACAGGAAAGTTGTTGATCCTCTAATTCAAATAATCAAGAGGTAATTTCTCTTTCTGTTGCGTAGATTTCTTATTCTGCAAATATTTTATGAAATTTTTGTGCGTTGCTTACTGTTGACATGTTTTTTTTCTTGGGTATAGGGGCGCAGAGGCGAAGCAATTGGCATTCTCCACTGGGCTTGGCATCACTTTGGGAATGTTTCCTATTTTTGGTGAGGAATAGTGTTTTTTTTGGGCGCAATTGTTATATTTTATCGTTACATTTTATTTTGACAAACTTACGTTTTTGTTTTAGTTCATGGCATTTTACGGTACAATGCTGATAATTCTTTGGAACTTTATAGTTTGACAACATGAAAGTGGTTGGCACATAGTTGCTTTTGTTTTTAATCGAGTTCTGAATTTACCATACATCACAAATCTCAAAGTACACGTCGCACGCGTCTGAACCAGCTTCATGAGATAATTACTCATGCTAAATAGATGATGTGTAACCATTCATAAACTGAGTATTAGTATATATTGAATGCACACTCTATGTTTCAGACTGTATTTGATTTAGCTCTTGAGAACCAGTGAATTGTGTGTCGAGAAATTGAACACGAGTGGAACGGGATGTTATCCCAGATTATTCATTTGCAGTGAATCAGAAATTTTGACTGGCAAGATTAATGTGATATTGAGAAACCTTCTTGCAAGCTTTCTGTTTCATACTTTCATTTTTCTTGCTGGTTGCATGATCTTAAATTGAATAACCTATAAGGTCCTCAGTCCTCTTGGTCCTTCTATGCTCTTTCGTGGAAGCTTCTCTGATGTACAAAGTTGCTCCAATTACATAGCTCTCGATTGTGAACACCGAATCAATATTTAGCATTGAGATTAAGTTGATCAAAAATTCCACGATTTTTTGGGGCCTTGATTGTAATTGTTCTTTACAGTAAAACAACAACAACAACAACAACAACAACAACAACAACAACAACAGAGGCTGAGATAATTAGGAAAAGCGTGATCACGGCAATGGTGAAGAATTAGGCTCCAGCCACAACATTTTTTATAAGGATCCTTGAAAGGCTCTCCTCTGATCATTCTCTTTTTGGTTTGAGCTTAATGGTTGGAAGGCATCACCTTTTATGTGTTTTAAAGCAAATATTTATTTGAGGTTCATTGACTTCGAATACGTTGGAGGGAAACATTGGCATGCTGAACTTCATGCTTGAATTCAAAGTGTGGGAAGCTCAATTAAGCGCAAGGACAACAAACTTTTCACTAACATACTGATTTTTTAAAATTATTTATTATTTTTTTTTTTGGGGGGGGGGGGGCGGCNCTCAGGGTTATCATATAGTTGTTTTAGGCATGGAGGGATTTCAGGAGCAAGTTATTAATTTGTTTAAAGAATTTGCAACACTCTGCTACAATTATTGACTCTGTAAATTAGTGATGATTCATGTGGTCTATCTTAGAGATTTCTTTTGGATTGTCAAACTAGTTCACAAGGTGTTTCATTTGATTTGAATGCCTTTTGAATAAAGAGACGTAACAATTTATCCGGGAGCATACTTCAAAATCTCCATCTGAGTTGGTGTGAGTAGCAAAATTGTTATCAACACTAGTTCACTTTGCCCAAATAAGGTGAGAAACTTGGGTAAATAGCATCCCTCTCATTTTCATCTTATTCTGCAGGGGAATAAAGAAATATAAATCTGTCTTCAATAAATAAGGAATGAAAAATGTCTCAAAAAAATGTCTTTTCACAAGAAACAGCTCAAGATGCATATCCCCTCCAGAACTTACATAAATGGCTATTTTTTAGCATCAATATTTGAATCGCTGAGACTTCACTATGAGAACAAGATAATGGCAAAAATCAATACACAACATTCACATTTCACACAAATCAGTGTTGCTACTACACGGCCTATTAACATAACTCATGATCAATTTCAATCACTACCTGAAACCATATGCAAATAAAACATTAGACTGAAACTTGACTTCTTTGGTTTGCAGTTTTGCACTATGTTTTATTGTAATCATTTGCCAGGGCAATATGTCAAAATTTCTCCTCTTTAGGTGCTGTCAACGATTTTTATGTACAATCTAATCAGTCAGAGTATATACCCATGGACATGCATTAAGGCACTTGTAATTTTATGATGGTTACACATTTAAATGTGATAATGTATGAAATTGAAGTAAATTTTATTGGTTACAGGGGCTCCTGTAGTTCTGTCTGGAGTAGCTATTGCATTATTAAGAAGTCGTTGCCATGCTCCAAGCATTATGCTTGCGAATTTTATTGCCACTCCGCTTCAGATAAGGTAGCGTTTGATCCTCTATTACATAAATCAATGTTAGTGCATGTTTTTCTAGTTCCTTTTCTGTAGACAGCAATTGTTTAATGAGATTTAATTAGTGAAAACTATCTTATCTGATCATTAGAGTTTGCATCAGTGAGATGAATATATATCTTTTGTTAAATATGCGATGAGATAATATTTATAAGTATGAAATTTTGTATTACTAACATCTTAAGCAGCTTGTATCTCTTGATAATTAAAGTAGTTTATTGTTACAGCAACCCATCTCATCATAAGAGCTTTTAGGTACAACTTTACAAATTCCAGTTTCACCATGATTATAATAAAATTCCAGGTTTACCATCCAGAATAAGGTCGAGCTGTCTATGACAAAAATAAAGAGAATGTCAGTCTTCTTCGTAATTTTTTCCTATCAATTTTGTGAACCATCTTCAGAGACTTTATACTTTTCATATTTAAATGTTTTAGTGGAAATAATACTCTACAGCTTACCTTAAGTTATTCAGTGAGGTCATACTTAGTTGGATATACAAATTCGTGCCTACTAGTATAAACTTGGTAGATTATTTAACCAGTGTTTAAAAGCATTATTTTTTGACTAGAAGTAATATGGAAATTCATGCTAATGTTATTTTGAAAGTGCATACTGGAAATGAAATTCGTTGTCTATTGCAGGCATTTGGTTAATGTTATTCAGACTTAAAGTTTAGGTTATTTTCCGTTTCAGACGCTTGATGACAAATTTTTTACTCATATATATGCGACTGTACATATATTCATTTACACTTATGACATATAGCCATGCCTCTGTATCTTATTTTTGTAAAGTTCACATCAAAGTTTCTAAGAATCAGTCACTATCGTTACTTGTACTTTGAATCTTAACGGATTTTAAGCATGTCAATTTGATCCACCTGAAACCATGGATATATTAGCTCATAACAAGTGATGCAAGCTAATAGTAGCTAAAATACCGATAAAAGAATAGATCTAGATTTGAAGTACCATAAGTTGATTTGATAATCATATTATTAAAAAGAAGTTAAAAAGGCAGCATTGACTAGAAAGCTCGTGACTAAATTGACTTATTTATATGACGATACCAACCAAAGATTGTTGAGACCGTTAAAATGCCTGAAGTCAAAACAAACCACAACCAATTCTGAGATTTCAAACACTGGTTCCCATTCAGATACTCGAAAAACATTTGGACACTTTGAATCTAAGTCCCATGTGATATAGGTACATGGGGACCGGACCAAGAGGTAAATTAGTAAAATGTATCTATTTGCATGTCCAGGCACAAAAGTTGCATTTTCAGTGATCAGGTTATTTGGTCAATTTTTTCATCCATGTCCTAAATCTCCCAACAACGCATAGTTATTTAAGCCAATGCTATGATATAAATATTTAAATCATTTTATCTCTCAAGACATATTTACTTATCTCAGCACATGATATAATTAAGACCTATATGAATGTATTTTTGAACTTAAAATTATACTTTATGGATGCAGGTGCATAATATATACGCTTGAATTGTCATCTAAGAGATTCTATTTTCAGTTTCACGTATGAAGCATTTATGAAATCACAATGTAAATTGACATAAAAAGAATGATGCACGATACCACTTCACAATGACCTCTGGCTTCTATAATTATAACATGTTTCAGTTATGCCCACTGATTCCTCCCCCCCA